TATTATTAGACATTACAAGGCAGTTATATTGTAAATATATATTTATCCATTGTTCCTATATCATTTGAACTGGAGAAGTTTGTAACCGAGGATGCTATCATCAAAAGGGATGTCAAGTTTACGAGAATTCTCCTACGCGTGTTCCTTGCAAAGAATCAATAAGTCACGTTATACTAAGTATAATACCCGCGATATTCTTGATAGAAAGAAAAAAAAGAAACAATACTACCGGGAAAAGCGAGAAAAGATACGTAGTACAAAAACGGAGGCGCTTGAAAAAATACATATTGAGCGAGCAGGTATATAGGCATGGTCCATTCAGGTGTCACAAGTTGCCATGAGTTCGTCTCAAGTAAAATCGGTAGAAATCTGGGTTCTTTGGAGTCTGAACTCAAAAGAAATTGTTCTCGATATCTGTCACAACTGTCACAAGTTCTTAGTTTTTATTTTTTATCTATAGATATCCATTCTTATATACTGTAGCATATATCAAAGGTAAGTATCGAGTATACCATATATATAGCATATATCAAAGTTAGAAATCAGTACAAATGTAGCGAGGATAGGTAACTATGTAATGTAAATAAGAATAGAATATACAGTATACTGTATCAAAGGTATATTATAGGAAAGGTTTATTTTTTCCCTTAGAATTTGACCTTTTTATTCAAGTAACTTATGGAAAAAATATAAAAATTAATCAGGAAAGAGACGAAAAGGCTCGAAACTCTCAAAGTGAGTGCCACATGTTCTGTAAAAAGTGTCTACAAACAAACTGTGAAATTTGGAATTTAGCGGATATAACATGCAACTGGATATAGTATACTAATATTTATCGACAGGATTGTTTATACTACGCGTTATTGATCATAAAGAAATAAAGCTACGAGTTTGATGAAGTAATTTTTTTCTTTTTTTGAATCTTTTTAATTTCTGGCTTTGCACTCTTGAGACTGATGTTCTGAAATTTTGCGATGATCGCTTTCTCTGGCACAGGATTGCGATGGATTTTTTCAACTGATACCACTTCGTGAGTATATTTAACTTGATGTTTTTGCCGAATATCACTTCCCGGTTCAAAATTACCCATAGTGTCGAGTGTTGGTTGTTTTGCTAATTTTTTTGACTTTGCCTTGCTCGCAATAGGAAATTGGGTGATGGTCTCTGGTGCACGATTTTGAAAAGATTGTGGACCAGTTATAGAGTAACTCCCTTCACCAAATTTATCATTCATAACTTTGGTTTCTTTTTTTATTCTTCTCCGATTTGCCATAGACGTACCGGTAATAACATGTGGTGTTTCGCTCGGAATCGATACGGCTAGAACCACACCAGGCTTTGCTCTGTATCCATCTTGAGTAGCTCCATATCCACTAGCAACCGTCGGATCGGGAGATGTATAAAGGCCCTTCTCATGTGGACGGAGTCCTGTTTGAGGCTGTTTTTTGAAACCATCCCTAATAATAGAATCTACGTAGTTATGACTTGTACCATGAAAACCAAGGGGTTTACTACTGTTGGTTGAGGAAGCACTTTCAATTGACCAAATGCTTATATTGCTGTTGGTTGAGGAGCTGCTTACTCTTTTTTCTTTCTTTCTTGACATTTTTTTTTCGTGCAGTTCAGGCTGAAAATTGTGACCACAATTAAGATATAAGAAATAGACGGAGTTGCAACTCCGCAAAATGCATTCAGCCGTCAAACACGCAATGAGGTCAACTTGGGAAATAATCTTCACTCGAATGACGACACATACTGTATATGATCTCGTCGTCATACCTGACCGACCATAACCTAACCTGAGTGGAAATAACATAATTACGGTCAACTCTCAATGCGTAAAGGAAATTGTGTGTTATTGAAGATTAATTGAAAATAGTTACAATCATTGTTTTCAGGTCCCCGTTTATTTAATAAAGAAAATTCGATAAACGGGGGGTTTTTTAAACATAAAAAGTTGGCATATAGAAATTATTTTTATAAATTATCCATATTCCTTTATTGCTAGATAAATTCTAATAGATAATTATCAATAAGAACTTTATTATAATTTTTGGATCATATATATTTCTTCTTTATACCCCAGTACTATGAAAATTTTGCAAATTTTAATTGACCTTTTTTTATTGACTTTTAAACTCATATCTATACTCAAATTTTCTTAAATTCTGACTTTCGTTTTAATTGGTTTAAATTTAATGGTTAATAAACCATATGCTATCGAGTAATATTCTTTATTATATTTGGATTACTTGTTATTGATTTTATAAGTTTTTATCTAATGCATAAAAATCTATCTGATAAAATATATGTAATTATTATTAATAAACTACCAAAATTTTAAATTATAATTATTAATTTATAATCGTTTTTATAATCTTTTTATTTTATTATCAAATTGTCTTTAATATAACGAGTAAATATATATTTTAATGAATTCTATCTTTAATGCAATCATTGTTAAATTTTAATGAAACTATTATGTTTTGATTCATAATTTTTATAAAAAGAAAATATCATTTTGTTAGCAAATAGTTGTTTGATAATAACACAAATTTTTATCATGTGTAGAGCTTATTATTAGAAATAAATTTATTTATTATAAAAATTTAGTTAATCTAATAAAATAAAATGTTTTGTATATAGCTACAATTTTAAATAAACTGTAATATATATTAGTTGTTTTTAATCTTATAAAAATTTTTGCTTAATAAATAAAATATATTGTCAAGCTATTCAATAACCTCAAAATCATATAGATAAATAAAACGATTATAGCATTAATCCACTATAAGTTGAGGGAGAATACCTTGGTCATGGTATATTAGAGTTGATAATTCAAGGATAATAGAGGTTACACAAACATGTTTAAAGAGGCTTTAGATGATTTGATTTAATTTGAAGATTTGTTAGAGATATATAATGTCAATAATAAGAGAATTTATTAGTTAAAACCTTGGGTCCACTGCTTTAGACAGCTGGCCTTTATATGCATATTTGAATATTAATTATTTATAATTATAGTTATCAAAGTAACCAAATTTGTCAGATTTACCAAATTAAACTAATATGACAAATATGCTAAAGTGGAGACAAATTATTAAATTCTATATTAAACATACAAAAATACCACAAAATATATTATAAAGTCTAAAGAAACTAAAGTCATATCACAAAAAACAATAAGTCACCAAGTCTTATTAGAAAATAACAAAAGCTATAAGCAATATTATCCTGAACAGACCAGTATACCATATTTATCTTGATAAGATCATCCAGCAAGATAAGGATATACAAATTATTATAGAACCAAATAAGATTAAAGAAGTAATTAAACAATACCTTTTTAACTGAATATCACTTTGAAATATGGTACTATTAATAAATTATCCACACTGGTAACAAGAATATAAAGTCAAATACTCTATCAAAAGTAGCTAATACTTAAATGTATTTTTCAAGATTACAATTGAGGAATTAGTAACAATGATCTGAAGCTGGAACAATAAATTAACACTAAGTAGAAATTAAATTCCATACAGTATTTACAAACATATAAAGGAAAATAATATAAAAAAACCAAAAGAAATTTTTAATAATGTCCTGCAATAAGGCATAATCCCCAGAGGGTATAAAAAAAGAACCATATATCCAATATCAAAACCCAAAAATGGAAAGATCAATTACAATATAATAAAACCAATTACTTTCTTGAATATTGAAAGGAAAGTTATCACTAGGATCATAATCAACTATCTAGCTAGAGTTTTTAAGGAATATCTAATACTATCAAACCTAAACTAAGCAGTAATACTAGGAAATAATACACAAGAACCTATACATATTTTGAGAAATATTATAAAACATGTCAAAAATAAATCAAAAAGCTTGGATCTTTAGTCAAGGAATATATAAAGCTTACTATTCAGCAAACATTACAATACTAAAAAAGACACTTCAGTATTTAAAAATTTCTGAGAAAATTATTAAGATTCTCAACAGAATCTTTTATAATAAACAAAATATAGCTCTAATATGTTATAGCCCAACTGACTTGTCTCAGTTAAAGATAGGATAGATCAAGATAACACTATATCCCCCTTAATATGAAGAATTTTATGAACCCTCTTCACAATAATTAGTAACAAACATAAAGAATACTAACTATCAATCAAGACTTTCAAGTACCTAGATCAAGAGTGGCCCTCAATATCTATAAATATTGCTGCCAGCATATATATAGATAATACAACTTGAATTGTAATCACAAAGCAGCACTTAAAAGTATTATAAATATTGCCAAACAATTCTTTTCCATTAATAACATTAAAGTAAATCTATAGAAATCCAAGCTTCTAATAATCAATAGTAAAGAAAACAACTATATATAGAGAGTATAAATAAATAATCAAAATTACAGGATGTATAAGAGGTATCCCAGTCAGAATCCTTAAAGTATGATATGATTGCTTTGAAAATAAAGACTACTATAAAGCCTTAAGAAAAAATCCAAAAAACATGAACACTTCTAGAAATGAAAAGAATTATTATAAACAGATGCAATATAGAATCAATTATATTCACATGCTTAGCTTAGAATATTTTTATAATAATATAGTTCTTATTAGAGATACTTACAACAAAATAATAAACAAGATAATAATTACCTTCAATATAAACTAGATTTAGCAAATACAGTTTCTTATAATATATTATATAACAAATTCGAGTACAACATAATGCACCTATGGGATATATAGCTTTCCTTCATGCTACAAACTGGACCTCACAAATCAATAAAAAATATAATAGAAGAAATAGCTAGGAAGAGATTACAATCTTTACAAAATATGTTTTAATCTATAAAAATAATAATAAATCAACTATACACACCTCTCTTATACAAGGAAGAAATTTCATATCCAATATCATATAGCTAGTACAGAACTCAACAATCAGATAATTATTGATAAAAAGCAAAAAAGACTGAATAATTAGCTTATAGAATATAGGTACTATAATATAATTAACAAGCAATTTCCTCTAACTGAATATATGGGCTTGATATCAATAACTATAGTTAAAACAACTATTTATACATTTTTTCAAAAAATCATCAAAGCTTAATAAATATTTCAATCTACTACAGCAATGTAACTACTAATAATATAACTAATACAAAGAACACAAATTTAAGTACAAAGTATCTCTAAACTTTGTTTATATTATACTCAACACATCATATTTTTCTAGCACAATCCTAATTGAAAATCAAGTAGAAGTCATTATTCTAGCAATGCAAAATCTAAACATTATTCTTAGAAAATTTATTATTACAGAAAATTATATATTAATTAAACTATCTGAGCTAGCTATTAAAATACAAGACAATATAATCTTTGATATATACAAATGACTCTCTCAAAAAGTATAACCATAAATAGCTTATAAGTATAAAAATAAAGATTATTACAAGTAAAGAAAAGAAATTCACCTTTCAAGAACAAATAGTACAATACACATCTTATACCAGAGCAAAAATTGTGCAATACTAATTATTCTAAGTATCCTACTAATTTTCAGCCAATACTAACATATTTACAACAGCAATTATGCTATAAATAGTATTAATAACATTATATAGAAATTTTCCATACAAAGCTCTTAGAAAACAAAAAAATTTCAATCTCATATAACAAATTCAAGACATATGCAAGAAAAAAATTATCAATTTGAAGTTAAACAAGGCCAAGACATACTTAAAAATTGAATACAATGAAGTAGCAGACAAAATTGTAAATATATACAAATATATAATATGGTTCCAAACACTAGACTAATACACATAAATACAACAACAAATCCATAACTCATTCTCATTTTCAATGAGACAAACAAGCTATAAATTCTCTATCAAGTCAATGATCAAACACATCATAGATACAATCTATCTTGCAAAATAAAAACTCTTAAATTATATTAAAATAAATTTTGATAATTAAATTATAAAGGAAATTTACTAGCCTTTGACAATTAATAATCTACTGTCTACAGAAATGAATAACTACTTTATCAACTGGCAAGATCAACAGCAAAGAAGATTCACACAACAACTCTAGAATAAAAACTATTCATAAAAGTGAAACTTTATTACAAACTTCTCAAAATTTATAAAAATAACAAATATATCAAATGTAGTCAGAAAGAATTCAATACATACTCCTTTATTTATTAAACACTCAGACATACTGTATAATAAAAAATTTTATTATCAATACTATAATAAACACAATTCCTAAATTTAGTGAAATGATAAAACTAAAGAAGTTTTTAGATAGTATTTAGTCAATACTACATTATACTATAAATAATACCTAGAGGTTACTATTCATGGAAATATTTTAAAGAAAACAACTAAAGTCATAAGCAAACTGATTTCCAACTAAATACAAAAAATATATATTTAGAAATTTACTCAAAAAATTATAAGCTAC